GAACAACTGACCTCTGGCATGAGGAACACCACAAAACATGGAGCGACTTTCCTCTCACATGAGGATCTGCACAGAACATAGAGCAACTGAGCTCTGACACGAGGAAAAAAACAATTACTTTGCCTACACTATAAGGCAATTATTTTTTTCAAATGGCTATTTAGATATTAAATTCACTGGCTACGTAGATTCTGAACTGTTATGAGGAACATAAAGCAACTCTCCTCTCAGCTAAGGATCAGCACGGAATATAGAGCAACTGACTCCTGACACGGGGAACAGCACCGAAAGGTCCGAACATACAGTGACTCTCTTCTCACTCACGGATCAGCACAGAACATAGAACAACTGACCTCTGGCATGAGGAACAGCACAAAACATGGAGCGACTTTCCTCTCACATGAGGATCTGCACAGAACATAGAGCAACTGAGCTATGACACGAGGAACAACACGGAACATATAGTGACCCACCTCTGACACGAAGAACAGCACGGAACATATAGCGACCCACCTCTGACACGAGGAACAACACGGAACATATAACAACCCACCTCTGACACGAGGAACAACACGGAACATATAGCGACCCACCTCTGACACGAGGAACAACATGAGGAATTTCTGACTGAGAATTCCGAGTGACTTGTCACGCCGCGCCGCGTCCGATGCCATCACACTGTGTGGGTTTCGCAGGCCGTCTCGTGTCTCAATGCTGATGTCGGGAAAGGACTCGTGCAGTGAGGTGCGCATTAGCGACACGTCCTGTCTGGTCTCATACTCAAGGACAGCCTCCAATAAACGATCATAGCGTTCCCGCCTTGCCAGCTCCTGTGCCCGACGAGAAACACAATCGTTATAGTGAGCGCTGTGTAAACTGGACAACACATTTATTTTTATATTTACATTTATTTTGCGCAGTTCCACATATATGCAACTAGGAGTCAGTGTATCACATTTACGCATGATTAAATTCAATTTTAGCGTAACTTTAGTTTTTCCTGTACGTTGCTAGTGATGGCTATGAATGGTTAAGTTATTGATAGCTTTGAAGGTCAGTTGATTAGATGTAGCAAGGCTAGTAAATCTCATACGTGGCTATATATGATTGTTTAGTACTATAGCGCTTGTTTGCACCAACCATTATCTCTAGTAAATTCAATTTGCTCGAAATCTATGCTCTACTGGAGCAATGTTGTGGATGATTAATTAGCAGAGCGACTTGCACACACGTGCATGAAGTGAGAATACGTACACACGCAGGCAGGGAAAAAATTTATTATTAATCTTTTGGGGCTACTTTCAAGCTCACGTGCATGAAAAGAGCACTCCTAAAATTTGTTTGGCACTTGCACTCATGCAAATTACGGGGCTTTTTTGGCATTTCGGGGCCAAATCGCCGCGAGCCCCCGTTATTTTTTTCACTGCACGTCAGGTTTCACTCGAAATAGCAGCAGTACACCTTGCGGAGTTCGCAGCACGTCAATTATAGTTCCCATGAATTGAATGAAAGTTCATTGAACCGATGAAGTTAGATTGTGATTCGCTCCGCACCCTTCGAGCTGTGACCACTCGCATCTGCTTCTGCATACTCCCTCCGAGCTATGTGCTCTCGTGTACAATCAGCATGCGTTTGGCCCTCGGTCGCGTGCTTCCAACGCGCAGTCAACACAATCTGTGCCCCTCCTATGTGACAGACTCAGACACTTGCACGGCCGAAGTACAAGCCACATATCTTCACCCAGTCCTGTAAGATATATCTGGTACTCGGTTCGAGCAGACCCAAAACAGAGAGAAATATACAAAGATGTCACGAAAACAACGCACATTCTTACCCTCTTGAGTCTTATGTCTTTCTCAGGGTTCTCCATAGCACTTACTCAGCGCTGAGGGCCATCATCATCTGCGTCTGAGCATGAATTGCTATGCTCGGAGCCAAAACCGCACTAATCATTCAGGCCTATTGGGGCCTCTCTCAGAACTCGACGAGACGGGGCCTCAGTCTAAATAATAGCACTTCTTTAGACAGTTGAAACCGTGCCGCGAAAATGGCGACAAAACACACAAACGGACCAGCAGTTCACCCGGCCCTACATTCTTGGTATTTTTATTCCCATAGAGCGTTGTACACTTTTCCGATGGCATTGGCCCATCACTCGTAAACTAATACGAGAGATAAGACGCAGCTGCCCCGTGAGTTCGAGTCATCACCCTCGGACACACTCTGATATAAAGAGAAACACACAAGAGATTGTTGACGTGCGACTATATGCCACCAGATGTCCTCGTACTCCACCGGCCTATTTACCTCAAAGTGCTCCTCGCGAAATAACCATCCGTGCTGGCATTTCGTGATCTTTCTCCCATTTCAAAATTTCTGGGAGGACCGCCTACCCCCCGCCCCGCGCCTTAAATAGTGCTCGCGTCTACACCAAAGAGTAAGTCCTCCCTGCGCTGCCGATCCAGCGCTGAGACGATCTTATCAAACCACCGCTCCCCTACATCAACAAAGCGGCTTTGTCACGCACTAAAGTTCCTCGTGTCCTGTGCGCCTGGGTATTAAAAGAATCCCGCGTCCCTGAAGTAAATCATGCGAGAATTCGTCTTCGTTCTCGCCAGCCGCGCCGCGCGGCATCTCATGGAGCTATGACACGGCTCAATTCGCCGCTGACCCAATAATGTAAACTATATACGCAAATACTTTGTGTAGCACCATAAAGCCGCCAAGCACACCTCTCGTGAATTGCTATGCAGGTTCCTGGCTGGGCTTCTCATTGCCGCCGCCTTCGTCGGGCTTCAAAAATTCAAATCCACCAGAATTGTAAAAATCTTGGACTAACTAAACATCGTCAGTTAAGCCGAGGAGATGACAATCGACATGTCGTAATTGGTGTTTTTTTTATTCCGCAGACTCGCTCTCGCGCGTTGAGAAAACGATTTTTATTTCCTCCATAAAAAAACGCATCTCTGCCCTCTTGCGGAATTTGCCTATTTTAATTTAAGCGCCTCTGCTGAAGTTACTTCTGAAGCTATAAACAAAGGTATGATTCGGCACGAAGGACCGGCTCAACTAAAACGAGGATACCGCGCCACGAGGCTCTCTGCGAGCATTTGCAGACAATGTTTCGTTAGACTGGCGCGCGATCGAGAATTTCACGACCGCTCGCACAAGTAACTATAGCTTTAGTGTAGCGAAAGAGACTTGCCCCGGAAATTAACGTTCTCGTGCCAGTCTACACCTGGAATCCGTGAACAGTCGCGTGTTCGTTATCCGCTAGCCAACTTGCTTATCCTTATGAATCTGTTCACCCCCCTCCTCGCATCTGGCCTCTGCAGACCCTCTAGCCCCGTTTGTGCCGTTTTGCACTATTACCCCCAGAGCTTCACCTGCACGGTCGCGCTACAAGTGGCGTCCCACCAAGCACCTGATACAGCCACCATCACATGCATGATCATCCTCGTTACGACTGAGCCCACATATACCCGCTCTCTACTAGAGACCGTGAGCAAGAGGCGTGGAGCGCAAAGAGATAAGCGGTTGTTACTCCCCGACCGACTACTATACTTCACTACTAGTAACTAGTAAGTAGTTAGTACTGCATCTCATTACCAGCAGACCAAAAAGTAACAACTACGTAACACGTCCGAACACCGCCCAGGACCGCAGGAGGACTAATAAGTAATAGTCAAGTAATGAACTAAACTCTGTTACTGAGTATTAACTAACTTAACTTAATAATGACGAAATTCCTAACGCATAAACCCTAACCTATTATATTGATATAATATTCTACCTTTAGGAGTGCACCACAAAACACATATTCACATTCGTTTTATTGGCATGCCATACACATCGGGCGCTCATATTAATCCCCATGTTGGAGCAATGTTCTCTATCTCCAAGGCCGGACCACTAGTACTACTAGACCTACATGATACCGACTATCAAGAAAAGCTCTTGCTAGGGGTTAGAGAGGTAGCGCGCGTGAGGCGAGGAGGAGAGCAGCGAGGGCGAGCGTGAGAGCGTTTTCAATAACCAATATAATGCTACACTAAATCACGAAAATCTATTCTACTCCCACGAAATTGCTTCATGTTTCTAGTATAACGGCCCCCATACTCTCTTCAAGAAGGTTGCGAGGTGCAAAGGCTATATATACGACTAACTCGCTCCATACCTCGATGTAGCATCACTTGAGTGATCTAGAGGCTAAAGCCGAGAGGTGCGAGAGAGTGGCCAGTCCCTATGGCTATAGGTCGCCGGTGCAGGCGGCGCACTGCTTCGCCCAACTCAATCCCGTACGACCCCTACGACCAGTCTCTCGCGGAAGCCCCTTTGCAAATAAACGTGCACGTCGCCTCTCCTGTGCGCGACCAGCCAAGCGCCGGTAGGCTGTTTCGTGATTCGACAGCCGCTTCCATTACTCTGAGCATCAGGGTCGCCCGAATTGTGCTGAGTAGATCTGCCTGCAGGACAGTCTTCCAAATTCTCTCCAAATTTCGAAAACCCGCACACAGCACAAGCTCGTGGCCTCGGTCCGTTTCCGGCGCCCGCTTTCAAATCAAGCAACGGTCGCCGCCATATCTCCAGCTCGGTTACCAAAAAACACCTCAGCATTACTCGTTACAGTTTTTATAGCCAAGTAACAGAGGCACTGTTGACGTCCAAATGTCTCCACCGCAAACCTGTGCTCCACTGTAAAAACAAAGGGACTAAGATGTTCGCTGGACACCTAGGAAATCCGTCGCCCCCGATGCTTTCAACACATCGCCGCACGGCCCCAACTTCATTCGGCCCCCAACGGCAACTAGTAGTCCACTCAGCTGCCGAGCCCCTGCAACTAGAACAATATCAGAGGCAAGCGTGTAATCAAAAATCCAAGTCTTCGCTGCTGTTTAAACCAACAACTTTCCCTAAAGTCAATATTCTTGGGTAACTGTCCCTATTAAGCGTATCTAACTTGTTCCATCGGATTGGGGGTGATACGGCGTGTGCGCGTTTTCAAATGCCCAAATGCCTCGCACACGGCAGGCGAACCGACATGCAGATACTCCAAATGGGTCCTGACATCCCGAGTGCAAGGTCCCAGCGGCCCTGCGCGCAGACAGCACACTCGCGGGGCACGCAACAGTCACAAGAAAAGAGCGCAGGTGCCCAAACGAGAGTGCGCAGCCGCCCGTGCCTGCACTCGCCGAACTGCGCAAAGCGAGAGTCTGCGCTTGCAAGCGGTGCAATTGGATCAACCTCGTCTTTCGGGCAACCGCTCTGCGCGAGACCCCGTCATAGGTCCGCATCCGCTCTCATCTGGTTTTCACGCCGCAACGCTCCACTTTGAATCCCAGCACTCCGTCCGGCCCACTTGTAGATAAAAGTTAGTACAACATTAAGAGTATACCCTAAGGAGAAAGTCACAGATTATATTATCACACTCCGAACAAAATAGTTTCGCAATTTGTCACATGGCAGCCCCTAAAACACAAGATGTTGCAGAGAAGTAGATGAGGGCGCTCCTGGTAATAGGGTGTGGCAGAGGACCAGGCGAGGGTGGTCGGTAAGCCGGTCCTACAACTTCATGCCTAGGGCCCAAACTACAACGTTCCCACGGGGCACTCTCATATAAATATTAACGCTAAACATTTGTCGTGCTAGCGAGCCTGGTGATACAACATGCCGGCAGCAAAGTTGTCGCTCGTGGGCAGCATCTACTAGCCTTCGTTTCCAATACACATTATATAATCTCGCTATGCTAGCCAAGGCCTACATCAACACTCTGCGAACACACGTTTTTGGCGTGAAAATTAGTGGAACCATGGTTCGAATTATTATTCGATTGAAAATAGGAAATTGGAATGTTCTTTGGAGCGACAACAACGACCAGGGAATATTGTTCCTGCAAACACAAGTCAAAAAACCTCTCTGAGTATGAATGACCTGGTTTCCCGCGAGAGACAACCACATTTTTTTTCTTATTTCGCGCACTGCTGCCCCGTGTGGCAGCATCGTTACATGAGAGGCTACGCAGTTAGACAGTTCTGACGAGATGCTCTTCAAAGCAACTATCCACTACGCATGTCGTCCTTAGACGAAGCTAATCATGCAGAATCTGGCCCTTTTTTCGCCACCCTTAATCATCCCTAGTAGAGCTCCCGAGCCCTTGATAAGCGACTTCGTTATATATACCCGTGAACTCGGCACTAACGTACAGCACTGTATACTACGATCGGTATTTGAGCCTGTTCAAAACTTCACCGCGGTTGCTTTGCCCTGCCGTACGTCTCCGTCGAGCCCACAACGTTGTCTGCCACCCTGCGGCCATTCTTCTCACTCAGGTGCACG